GGGACACAGGGACACAGGGACAAGGGGACAGGGACACAGGGACACCCTGTGGCAGCACGGGGTGTCCGCGCTGTCCCCATGGCCGGGAGGTCCCCGGTGTCCCCATGTCCTGCCTGGGCCCGGGCTGGCCGCGCTGTCCCCGTCGCCGAGGGCTCGGTGCCCCAGCGGTGTCGCCACGGGGCCAGCTCGGGGCCAGCCCCAGAGCCCGGCTCCCGCTGCCGCTGTCCCCGCGCTGCCACCGCCAGCCAGCCGTGTCCCTTGTCCCTTGCAGCCCAGAGCCTCGGCCTCGCTGGTGAGTCCTCGGGGGATGCCGTGTCCCCGCGCCGCTGTCCCCAGCCCCGCGCTGGCCCTGGCACGCTGCTGTCCCCTGTCACCCGCAGGTGCCCCGAGCCCGCAGCTCCTCGTGGAGCCCCCCTGGAGGCCGGCGGTGCTGTGGGACCGGGTGACACTGACCTGCCGGGGCTCGGGGACCGCCGGGGACACCACCTGGTACAAGGACGGGCGGCGATGGCGACAGAAGGGACCCGAGAGCTTCACTGTCACCGAGAGTGGCACCTACCAGTGTTACGGAGCCGGCACCGGGTGCAGCCCCCCCGTGCAGGTTGTAAATGGTGAGAGGTTTTTGTGTCTCCCCCGCGACACCTGTGGGAATCCCGGGAGCTCTGGGTGAGCTGAGCTTCACGGGTCACCCCGCTGTGACCTGAGCCCTGCTCTGGGGACATCCCGGTGTATCCCTGGAGCACCAGCGCATCCCAGAGCGACGAGACCACCCGGCTGCAATGGGGGACCCCCGGTTCCTCCCGTTGCCATCGGGACCCTCTTGTCCCACAGTCACGCCAGTGCTGCAGGTGCCGGCGTGGCCGCTGCTGGAGGGGGACACGGTGACACTGCGCTGCCGGAGCCGGCGGGACAAACCGGTCACCGGGGTGCGGTTCTACCATGGGGAGGAGAAATTGGGGGAACCCCTGCGGGGGTCCGAGCTGTCCCTGTCCCCGCTGAGGCTGCAGCACAGCGGCCGCTACCGCTGCCAGACCCGGTGGATTTTCTGGTCCTCGTGGTCCCCAGAGTGGGAACAGTCGGATCCGGTGTCAGTGACAGTGCACGGTGAGCACCCCACAGCCGCCAGCCCGACACCCCCAGAGCCCCTCCCCAGGGCTCACAAATCCCCCTCCCCTCTCCTTGCCAGAGCTCTTCCCGGTGCCGGTGCTGGAGGCTCCGGCCGAGCTGATCGCGGGGTCCCCCCTGAAGCTCAGCTGCCTCAGCAGCCGCAGCCCCCTGCGGCCCCTCACCCCCCTCGTGCACCGCTTCTACCGGGACGGGCGGGAGCTGGGGGGCCCGCAGGGGTCCCCGCAGCTGCTGCTGCCCGCCCTGGGGGTCTCCGGCTCGGGGAATTACAGCTGCGAGGTGCAGAGCCAGGGGGGGGCCGTGCGGAAGAGCAGCGCCCCGCTCCGCGTCACGGTGCTCGGTGAGTGCGGGGATGGGCGCGGGGAGCCCCCACAGCCTGCACGGCTCCCCCTGCCCTGCCCGGGGACCCCCAGCACTGTCTGCGGACCCCCAGCCCTCGCTGACGTGATTCCCGGGTCTCCCCTTCCCGCCCCGGGTCCCCCAGCCCTGACTTGGTGTCCCCATCCCCTCCCGATTCCTTTCTCGGGTTCCCCCATCCCCGCCCGGATCTCCTGCTCCGTTCCCGGATCCCGCCCCGTGTCCCCCCATCCCTTCCCGAGTCCCTCCCCGTGTCCCCCTGCCCTGCCTGGAGACCCCCATCCTTCTCCGACACCTTTCCAGGGTCCCCTCATCCCTGATCGGGTCCCTCCCTCCTCCCCAGGTCCCTCCTCCCACCCCTGCCCCGGGTCCCCGAACCCCGCCCTGGTGTCCCCCACCTCCCTGTCCAGGTGTCCCCTCCCCCAACCCCCCCTCCTTCCTCGGGGTCCCTTCCCAAGCCCCCCCAGCTCTGCGTCCCCTCTCCCTGGCTGGGGTCCCCTGGGTCCCTGACTCTTCCCCGGATCCCTGAGTGTCCCCCGGGTCCGTGACTGTCCCCCGGTGTCCCTGAGTGTCCCCCGGTGTCCCTGAGTGTTCCCCGGTGTCCCTGAGTGTCCCCCGGTGTCCCTGACTGTCCCCCGGTGTCCCTGAGTGTCCCCTGGTGTCCCTGAGTGTCCCCCGGGTCCCTGAGTGTCCCCCGGTGTCCCTGACTGTCCCCCGGGTCCGTGACTGTCCCCCGGTGTCCCTGAGTGTCCCCCGGTGTCCCTGACTGTCCCCCGGTGTCCCTGACTGTCCCCCGGGTCCGTGACTGTCCCCCGGTGTCCCTGAGTGTCCCCCGGTGTCCCTGAGTGTCCCCCGGTGTCCCCCTCTCCCCCCGCAGCGGTCCCGCCCTCGGGGGTGTCCGTGTGGGCGCAGCCCCCCGGGGCACAGGTGGCACTGGGGGACCCCCTGGTGCTGAAGTGCGCGGTGGCCGCGGGGACAGGTCCCCTGTCCTTCTCCTGGCACCGGGAGGGCTCGGGGACACCGCTGGGCACCGGCCCCCGCCTGCAGCTGCGGCGCCTTGGGGACAATGACAGCGGCCAGTACCGGTGCCGGGTCAGCGACGGGGACAGCGTGGCCGAGAGTGTCCCCCTGAATGTCACCGTCCTGGGTGAGCGGGACCCTCGGGATGGGGGGCGACCCCCATGGGGACACCGCCATCCCCCCTGGGCAGGTGACAGCCCCGTGCGTGTCCCCGCAGTGCCCGTGGCCAATGCCACCATCAGCCCCGGTGCCCTGGGCCAGCAGGTGCGCGCAGGTGAGCCCGTGAGGCTGCGCTGCTCGGTGCAGGTGGGCTCAGCCCCTGTCACCTTCACCTGGCTGCGCCACGGCCGGGAGGTGGCCCGGGGTCCCCTGCTGGAGCTCGCCCACGTCGGGCTGGCACATTCGGGCACCTACCAGTGCGTGGCCACCAACCAGCTGGGACAGGACGGGCACCGCGTGTTCCGGGCACTCAGCCCCGAGCTGCTCCTGGAGGTGACAGCGGGGGGACACGGCGACACAGGTGACGTCACTCGGGGACACTCTGGGGCTCCGGGACAGCCGGCTTTGCCCTGGAGGTGACAGCGGGGGGACACGGGGACACAGGTGATGTCACTGGGGGTCCGGGACAGCCGGATTTGTCTCTGGAGGTGACAGTGGGGGGACACAGGTGGGGTCACCAGGATGTGAGGCACTCCTGAGGTGAAGGGTGGCCCTGATGTGTCCCCCTCTGTGCCCGGCAGTGGCTGTGAATGTCAGCAGGACCCTCGTGCTCCTGCTCCTGCTCCTGGCTGCCATCGGGGGCTGTCACTGGTGGCACCGCCGGGGTGGGTGACGATGGAAGTGAACGAGGTCCTACAGGAAGTGGAGGGAAATCTCACAGACTGGGGGGGCTTTTTGGGACCACCCAAAACCCCTGACCTGGGGCAATCTGAGCCCCCAGTGACTTCTGCTTGGGGTCCTCAAAGGTTTGGGGGCGTTTCGGAGGGTCCTGGGGCGTCCCAGGAAGGTCCCTGAGGAATACTGGGGTGTCACTGGGAGCTCCTGGGGGCTTTAGGGGGGCGTTGCAGACTCTTGCAGGGGTTTTGAGGGGTTTTCAGGGGTCCTGGGGGAGTTTGGAGGGTTCCCTGCATTCCATTCTTGGGGTTCTTGGAGGCTCAGGGGTCCTGGGGGGGTTCAGGGGTCCTGGGGGGGTTCAGGGGTCCTGGGGGAGTTGGGATACCCGAGTGGCTCGGGAGTTCTGGGGCACTCTCCGGGGTGGTTTTGGGTGCAGGGGCCTGGAAGTCTGGTAGAAATCGGTGTCTGGTGGGGGCTCAGGGGTCCAATGGCCGTATCAAGGACCTAGGTGGGATTTGGAGACCCCATGATCACCCCCTCCCCTTTTTCTTGCAGCTGCCCGGAAATCCCAGGACAGGTGAGTGGGGGGCTCCAGCCGTGAGTTTCCTTCCCCCCCCTCCCCAGACCCCCCTCCCTCACCCCCTTATCCCCGCAGGGCCCCCCTGGAGCTGCTGGACACCCCCACCGTGGGCACCGAGCGGGCAGGGGGTGAGTCCGGGGGATGCCTGGGGACACGGACACGTCACCCATGGCTGCCAGCCCAAATCAGGTCCCCAGAACCGATGTCTCTTACAGGGGTCCCCCAAACTGTCCCACCCAAGGACCCCCAGGTGACACACGCAGAGCAACTGCAGGACACCTGTGACATCTACGAGAACATGCTGTGACACTGGGGACACGAGGAACCCCAAGGCTCCCGTGGCTGTCCCTCCTGCCTGGGGTGATGATCCCGAGTCAGGGGGGGCTGCCCAGTGCTCCCCTTTCCCCCTCCCAGTGCTCCCAGTACAGCCATGGCTCCCCACCTCCCCTCCCAGTGCCAGGGGAACCCAGCACTGGTTTCTCTGGTAGCAAAATGCAGCTTTTTGTTTAAACTGGCAGAAATGGTGTTTGTTCAGCTCTGTCGGGCTTTAGGAATGGGATTCTGCAGCTCCAGACCAGGGGCCGCTGTCCCAGCCCCTGCCGCTGGAGGCACAAAAGGCAAAGGTCCCAAAGGGCTGAGGGAAGAACAATTTCCTGAAACAGCAGCGAGAGGACAAAACCAACAGCAGCAAGATTCAGAATCCAAAGGGTGACAAAAGGAGGGACTTCCAGGGAAAAGCCCCAACAAGGAACAAAGCCCGGACACTTCCCCTGCACATTTCCTCCAGCAGAGGAACCTGGCAGGGCCCTGGAGCTTCACTGCCCTGATGGTCAAAGCAGCCTTCAGGAGGCTCTGGGTTCTCTTTTTCCCCATCCCAAACCTCTCCTCTGCCGTGTTCCCCACTCTGTGTTGCCACCAAGGCCCTGTGGGTGTTCCTCCCGCTTTTCCAGGGCTGTTGGGATCAGGCCACGGCAGTTGAATTCCCTCTGTCTCCACAGCAGCTCTGCCAAAACCTTTGGGCTCTCTGAAATCCCCTCTCCTGAGAGGATCTGCGCCCAGGATTCCCGGGGCCAGCCCCAAGGGTCTGTTTTGGCCCTTCCCAGTCGCGGTCACTCCATGTCCCTGTTGGGATCCCGCAGGAACAGGGATGGATTCTCGGTGGCAGCAGGGGATGTTGTGCTCCCGTGGCTCTGCTGTGCCCTAACCCATGGATCCACAGCATCCAGGAGATCCCAGTGCCCCTTTGGCCCATCTGGAAGGAGCCAGGGCTCCTCTAGTCCTGCTCATGGCACCATTTCCCTTCCAGAGGATGGGAAGTGTCATCATCCCTCCTGTTCTGACTGAGCCCATGGAACACTGGAGCAGATTTATCCTTGTTGAATTTCTTCTGGTGGTTGTTGTTCCTTTTCACTCCCATCCCTGTCCTGCCAGGGTTTTCCATCCCATTTCCTCTCCATGGTCCTGCACATAAAACCAGCAGGAAAACTCCTCCAGGTTTGGGAGCATTGGGAGCAAGAGCCCCATGGAAGACACAGAAAATGTAATTTATTGGAAAACTCAGCCAATGGATGTGATGGTTTGAAAGCAAACCAGCAGGAGAAATGAACACCACACAAATACCTCGAGAGAGATTTCAGGTCAGAATCACAACTTCATGGAAAGATTACAATAAATGCAATGATACAGGAAAACTGGATTAAAACCACAAAGGCAAAATCCAACCTGGCATCCTGTCGGATGGGGGGCGTGGATGAAGTCCTGTTGATGGTGAAAGAAATGGTCCTGGGGAAGGTCTGGTCCTCCTCTGGCTCCCTCGAGTGGTGGTGAAATCCCAAAGCCCCAAAGAGCCCAGATTACATTTGGTCTGATTGAGGAATGATCAGTACCTCCCCGAGGGCAGGGAATTTCACAATCAAGAATTCCTACAACTCTTGGGATGTTTTGGGCAATCCTTGATGGCCTGGGTGTCCACAGGCTGGAGACCTTTGAGCCACGATGGTCCAGTGGCAGAGGTGACGCTTGGGCTGGCTGCAGTCAGCACTTTGGGGAGACAAACAAACATTTCTCTGCAGGCTTTGCCTCCTTCCCTTCCCTTCCCACCAGCCCCAGGGCTTCCCGTGCACTGGGCAGCTCCAGCTGGACCCATCCACTGCCAGCTCAACAGGATGGTGGAGATGGGAGCAGAACTCAGAGTCTGGTTACACCCCACAGGAAAATGGAAATGGAAATGGAGCCCCAAATGGGTGGGGAACTGGAGCTGGTTCTTGGCGGGGCTGGGCCTAGGAGAGGATTGCCTTGGCTCGCTTCTGGGCTTTGCGCTCCACCTGGGCACAGAACTTCTCGGGCATGCCGGTGGCTCTGCAGAGGAAAGAAGGCATCAGGCTCCCGATGGATGCGGGAGCGTGGCCCTGCAGCGGCCCCCGTTTGCTGAGGATGCCGAGGGAGCCGGGAGGGGGCCCAGGCTGGGACAGCAGGAAGGATTCGGGGAGCGCAGGAAGGATTCGGGGAGCGCAGGAAGGATTCGGGGAGCGCAGGAAGGATTCGGGGAGCGCAGGAAGGATTCGGGGAGCGCAGGAAGGAAGCGGCGGCACCGGCAGCCCCTGACCTGAGCTCCTGCAGCTTCTGCTGCCCGAAGTGGGCGAGGCGCTGGCTGCGCTGCCGAGCCTCCTGCTGCTGCTGCCGGCCCTCCTCGATCAGAGCCTCCCGCTGCCGCTGCCGCTGCTGCTGGAGCTCCTGGATCTGCCTCCGCAGGTATTGGGCGTGAGCGCGCTGCCGGAGCTGCCGCTGCTCCCACTGCAGCTTCTCCCGCTCCAGCTGCTCCTGCTGGGCCCTGCGGGAGAGCCGGAGCTGCCCCAGGGGCCCTGGCCCAGCGCCTGGGCTGCCGCTGGAGCCCCCGCAGCCACCGGCTGCAAGCGGGAGCGCCCCGGCCACGAGCTGAGCCTGGCCTCGGCCCCGTGTGCCTCACCTGAGCACCCTCTGGAACTCCTGGCGGTCCTGCTCCAGCTGCATGGCCACGTACTCTTCCTTCTGGGCCACCTGCTCCAGCCGCTCCTGCCTCAGCTGCTGCTCCAGCTCGGCCTTCTTCCGCGCCTTCTCCAGCTCCTGCCGCCGCCATTCCCGCTCGGCGGCCTCTTGGTTCCTCTTGGCCCTCAGAGCATCCTGCCCAAACAGGGGGCAGGGCTGGGCTTCCCCCCGGGGCCGTGGCTCTGCCTCTGCCGCCACCGCTCCAGGACGTGCCCCGGCTCCGGGGGCTGCTCCCGCCGACCCCCCGCACCCGGGGCCGCTGCCCCTTGGCCGGGCCGGGGACAGCGACGGTGCCAGGGGAGCGTCCCCCGTGCCTGGGCCACTCACCCGCTCTGCCAGCCAGTCCTGGACCCGCTCCTGCGTCACCCTGAGCCGGGCCAGCTCCTTCTCCTTCTCCAGGCGCAGCCGTTCCTTCTCCGCCTCCAAGGCAGCATCGCGCTCCTATGGGGACAGAGCCCGGGGTGAGGGACAGAGCCTGGAGTGTGGGACAGAGCCCGGGGTGAGGGACAGAGCCTGGATTGTGGGACAGAGCCTGAAGTGTGGGACAGAGCCCGGGGTGAGGGACAGAGCCTGGAGTGTGGGACAGAGCCTGGAGTGTGGGACAGAGCCCGGGGTGAGGGACAGAGCCTGGAGTGTGGGACAGAGCCTGGAGTGTGGGACAGAGCCCGGGGTGAGGGACAGAGCCTGGAGTGTGGGACAGAGCCTGGAGTGTGGGACAGAGCCCGGGGTGAGGGACAGAGCTCGGGGTGAGGGACAGAGCCCCAGGATGGGACAGAGCCCCAGGATGGGACAGAGCCTCAGGGCAGCTCCTGCAGCCCCTGCCCAGCCCACCAGGACCCCACTGCTCTTACATCTTTCTGCCGCTGCTGCTCCAGCGCCCGCTCCTCCTCCAGCCTCTCCCGCTCCCGCTGCTCCTCCTGCAGCCTCTGGCTCTCCTCGTTGAATTGTTTAATCTCGGCATGGATTTGCTTTCGTCGCTCCTGTTTCTGCTGCCAGGCCTGGAAATGGCCCGCACGGTTGGAGGCCACGGGGCCGAGTGCTCCCTCCTCCTTGTCCTCGCTCGGGCCAGGGAGGCTTTGGGCCACGTCCCGGGGCTGCCGCAGAGTCCCCAAGGGCGCAGAGCTCTGCTGCTGCTGCCTGCTGTCCCCATGCCCCGCGTGTGGCTGAGCCAGCCCTGCCAGAGCCTTTGCAGCCGCCTGCAAAGCTCCCTGCAGCCCCCTGTTCCCTGCTCCCACCTTGCGATCCTCCCTCTTCATCTGCTCCAGCCGCTCCAGGTGCCTCTGGCCCTCCTGGTACAGCTCCTCCTCCCTCAGCGCTCGCTCCTCTGCGTTCTGCTCCATCTGTTTGGCGATGTCCTGCCTGGCTCTGGCGACGGGAGAGCAGGAGGCTCCCTCTGGCCCCATCGCGCTCCCCGTGCTGGGAACGCCGGCACGGGCAGGGCTGCTGGGCTTGGCACGGCCCGGGTGCCTCCATGGGCAGCAGGGAGCCTCCTGCCCACCTCAGCAGCTCCCGCTTCCTTTGGCACTCCAGCTCCTCCTGCACCTCGCTGCCCTTCTCCCACTCCATCAGCATCATCTTGTCCAGCCGCTTCTCCTCGTCCGCCAGTTCCTTGCGGATCGTGCGCTTCTCCAGGACCTGCTTGTCCCAGATCATGTTGCACTTGGCTTCCAGGAACAGCTGTGGGGACGAGAGGGCTCTGTGGCTCGGAGCCGCTCCGGGACACGGGGAGCAGGGGCCGAGGCAAGGAGAGGAAGGGCCCGGCAGCACGGGGAGCAGGGCAGGCTCGGGCGGTGCCGGCCGGCAGCGGGGAGCGCTGGCCCTACCGTGTTCAGCGCCCGGATCTCTTCCTCCTGCTCCAGCCTCATCCTGGCCGCCCGCTGCAGCAGCTGCTGCTTCTCCTGCTGCAGCTCCTCTTCCACGTCTCTCCGCCGCTCCCTCTCGTCCTGCAGCTCTGCCTTTCTCTGCTCCTCGCTCTTGGCCTTTTGCAGGGCTTCCTGCGAGGACAGAGAGCGCTGCCCAATCGCGGCCGCCTTCCCGAGGGCTCGCAGGGCTCCCGCTGGAGCCGCCGCGCTCCCGGCACGGAGCGGGGACGGGACGGGCTCCAGGGGCCCTGGCCCGGCCGTGGGCCCCCCTTCGCACCCCTCTGGCCACACACCCCGTGCCCGTGCAAGGCCGGGAGCGCCGGGCACAATCCCAGGGATGCTGCCCAGCTCTCCCTCGAGCCCCGAGCCCGGCAGCCTCCCCTGAGCCCCAAAACACGGGGGACAAACGGGAGCCCCTGGGGGAAGCCACCAGCCCCGCAACGCCGAGCGGCAAAAGGGGCAAGCGGGAGGGGAGATGCCTACGAAAGCAGCGTCCTGTCTGGCTTTCAGGCTCTTCAGCCTGTCCCGGCGCTCCTCCTCGCTCGGGGCTCGAGCTGACTCCTTGATCCTCTCATATTCCTTCTCCCCGATGATGAGACACGCTTGGGGTTTCTCCTGGGGAACGCTGGGGAGCACGGGGAGAGAGCTGAGTGTCACCCAGAGCCCAAGGGCTTCCCGTGTTCCCTGAGCTGCCCGAGCCGCCCCCTCGGCCACCGAGGCAGCCCAGAGCAAGGCAGGAAGCGCTGGGGGAGCCGTGGGGACCCGGCTCTCCCGGCCTGGGGGGAGGCAGGAAGGGCAAGTGTGCTGAAAGTGGCACCAGGCTGGGGTGCGGGGGCAGGAGCGCCGGGCACACCGCCAATCCCTGCTGCCCGGAGATTTTGGGATGGTGCAGTGACACCCATTCGCCCAAAAGCCCTCAGGGCTCGGGTACAGCCTTACACGAGTTCCCGGATCACGTCCTTGGTGATGATTTGGATGGTCTTGAGCTTGGGCTTGAAGGAGAGAATCTCTTGAGAATGTTTTGGTACATCCTGAGGAATCACGACAGCGCTGCTGGAGCCCGTGACCTGCAGAAAAGAAAAGTTTGAGGGATCCGAATCCCCCCCTCCAGCTGGAGCTCCCCGGACACCGCCGGGTCCCGGCGGGAGCTCTGATGCCTCTGCCGGGATCCCCGGGGGGTGGCGCGGGAGGCTCGGAGGGGACGGAGGGGCCGGGGGTCAGCAGGAGCAGCCGGACATTCTGTCGGGTGAGGGGGGGTCTGGGGAGCCCGGGAGCTCGGGGGGGAGGCACGGGGACGGACGGACTGCAATCCCGGCGGGGAAAGCTGGAGGCGGCGGGCGAGGAGGGACCCCCGGGAGGAGCCCCCGGCACGGAGGGACCGGGATCCGGTGCCGGCAGTCGCGGCTGCCATGGCGCTGCCCGAGCCGGCGCTCCCGGGGCTCTCCCGTTCTCCCGGGACCGGCAATGTGCCCGAAGCCGCTGTCGCGATGTGTCGGGACAGACTGTTGCTACGGCAACGCCCCAACTTCACACAGAGCGTTCCGGAACGGGCCGGGATTTGGGGGCGGCGCCTCAGGCGGGAGGGGCGGGGCTCAGGCTGAAAGAGGCGGGGCTTGGCCGAGCTGCGTCACCCGGTGCGGTGCCCTCCTGGCACAGACCCCCTTCAAGTGCCCCCACACGAACACGAGCGACCCCCGCCCCTCGGGGGTCGTGGGAGAGTCACCAGTGACGCCCCCTCCCCGCCCCCTGCTCTTTACCACGCCCATTCAAGCCCCGCCCCCTCATCAGCATAGCCACACCCCCCTCATTGACCCGCCCCTTCGACCTTTGCGCTGACCCATCCCAAGCCCCGCCCCCTCTGGCGAGGCCCCGCCCCTTTCACGTGGCTGCTGCCCCCGAGGCCGTGAGGTCCCTGCACCCCCCGACCGGGGTCCCCCCCCTTGTACCCCAGCAGGAGCCCCCAGCCCCAAATCACAACCACAGGCCTGGAAAGAAGAGGAACCGTTTATTGGGGCACGGGGGTCGCTCCCCAACACGCTGGGGGGGCCCTCCAGCAGCCCCCAAGGCACTGCGGGGCGGTGGGGTGGGCGCAGCGGCGCCGCCCCCACCCAGCCAAATAATAATAATAAAAAATGACTTTGGTCCTGACAAAACTGGCGAGGGGGCGGCTGCCCGGGCCGGGGGGCACCCGGCTGGTCCACGGTGGGGGTTAAGGCAGTTTGGGGGCGTGGGGGGGTCCGGAGGGCCTCAGAGGATCTGGCGGGGCATCCCATAGCCCGTCATGCCAGCCTGCGAGGCGCCCCGGTTGGTGCCCATCTGCAGCCCGATGACGCTCTGGCCCTCCTTCAGCTTGTCCTCGGAGAAGACGCGCCGGTTCTCCTGCGACTTCCTGCGGGCACAGGGGGTGTCAGCATCCCCACGGGACCCCCCAGCCCGGCCTCCTCCCCCACCTCCAGCACCCCCACCTACTTGGGGAACCAGTTGGGGTCTCCCACGAAGAGCCCGTCACCCTTGGCCACGGCCAGGCTGCCCAGGTTCATCAGGGTCCTCTGCACGCACGCCATGTTCTTCCCTGGAAGACCCACACCAGGCTCAGCTCCGTCTCCATCCTTGTCCCGGTCCCACACCTCGGCCTCCGGGTCACTCACCTTCCCAGAGATCCACGGTCTGGAAGATGTCGGTGGCCGCGATGCCGTAGCGCTCGGCCGCCTGCAGAAACTGCGAGATCTGCTCCATCTGCTTAAAGGCCATGGCCGACGCCTGGATTTTGGCCACGGGCGCTTGTCCCCGCGGGTGGAGGCTGTTGATGAGCCGGCACAGCACCTGCAGGCACGGACGGGTCAGGTGTGCGGCACGGTCACCCCCTGCCCCAGCTGGCCCCGGGGGTACTCACCGTGCCATCCTTCAGCCACTGCTGGAAGCCATCCCTGCCGGGGGCCGGCTGTGCCACCGCGCTGCCGCCGTCGCCGCCGCACTGCGCCAGGATCCAGCGCACCAGCACCTGCTCCAGCTCGGGGTCGTACTGCCGGTCGATCTTCTGCTGCACCTCCCGGCTCAGCCCATAGGACGGGCCCCGGTTTGCCATGCTGACGGCAGGGGGGTCTGCAGGGATGGGACCCCATCAGCGGCTCTGGTGGCACCGGAGCGCCTGGCACGGGCCCCGTGACCCCGGCGTGGCAGAGCCTCATCCTGCCTGGACGTCCGGCACAGAGCCTTATCACCCGTGCCAGGCGCTGCCCAGGCTCTGCCCCCTTCCTGCCCAGCTGGCCAGGAGCAGTGCTGGGTGTGTGCCCACCCAAGGGGCAGCTGTTCCCAGGCAGGGCAGGCAGCACCGCGAGCCCGCTGTGCCTGAGCGGACTCCACTCCGAGCATCCCCGTCCCTCGGCTCGGCCCCGCCGCCGCGCACGGGCTTGGCAGGCGCCGGGGGCCGGTCGGAGCTTGTTTGCGGATCTCGCCCGTTTGCTCGGGCCTGGAGCCAGATCCGGGACTGGCGCAGGAGCGTGGGGCCAGGGCTGATGGCGGCAGTGTCCCCACCCCGGCGGGGCAGCCAGACCCCACCCCTGGCCAGGTGCTGCCTGGGCCAAGGTGCCACTGGAGCGGTGCCATCCATGCTGGAGATAAGGGAGGTTGTGCCCACGGGGGACACGAGCAGAGCGGCCCTGCCCGTACAGCCAGGGTGTCCCGAGCCCCCGGGGTCTCTCTGTCCCCTCTGCCCACCAGTGTCGTGGTGGGCACACCACATGCCTTGCCCCCACACCCTGTCCTGCCCCGCTGGCATTTGGGGGCACTGAGAAGCCAGAACACGTGCGGGTGGCCCTGCCTGTCCCGGTGTCCCTGTCCCAACTAGGGACATGTGGCAGTTGCTGGCCCGGGGTAGCCCAGCCCACAGCCGGGGGTGCCAGGCCCAGCTCGGGGCACAGCTGGCCCCTGTCACACACTGGCTGCAGGCTCGGGGGTCCTGTCACCAGGAGCAGCCCCAGGACGTGCTGCTCTTGGGGACAGGAGGAAAACCAACCCCAGCCGGGTGTGCCCCCAGAGCCAAAGCCTTGGGCAGCCGTGGGGGTCTCTGGGGAGAGGCCTGGGGCACAGGGACCCCGCGGGGAGAGTCCGGCCGGGGGCAAAAGCGTTGGGAAACAAAGAGGAGCTGGAACTGGGATCATTTCCCGACCCAGCCGGGGCTTGACCAGGCGGGAGGGGGACACACCCGGACCCAGCCACGCTGCCCTGGCGATCTCCGGACCCCGCGGGAGGGGGCTGCGCCCAGCGCGACTGGGGCTGGGGACCCTCCGGCCATCGTGGGGACAGCGAGGGTCCCAGGTAGGACCCGGGGGTCTCCATAGACAGCCTGGGTACCCCTGAGCTCTCTCCCAGGACTGGCAGGGAAGGGGCTGTACCCAACCCTGAGGGGACCGAGCCACCCTGGGAACACCCGAGACCCTCCAGTGCCAGCAGGGAGGGGACCTCAGCCAGCACAAGGCCACCTGGGGGACCCCCGACACGCGCCGGGGACAGCAGGGAGGGGCCGTACCCAGGGTTCGACCACCCTGGGGTCCCCAGAGCCGCCCGGAGCCAGCCGGGGAGGGGACCCCGGGGAGGGCACGGCGGGGAGGGGAGCGGAGCCAGCGCTGCGGGCGCGCCCCGGGGCTCCCAGCGCGGCGGGGCCGGAAGCCGCGCCCCGGTCCCGTTTCCCGGGCGCGGCCGCGTGTCCCGGCGGCCCCGCGGGCGCGGTCCGGCCGCAACCGCTACCGGGGCGGGCGGGGGAACAACCCCGGGGAACAACCCCGGGGGAACAACCCGGGGGAACAACCCCGGGGGACACTGGGCGCGCCCCGGGGGCTGAGTGGCCGTTCCCGAGCCGCTCCCCATCTCCGCCCCTGTGGCAGTCCCGGTCCGCATCTCCGTCCCCGTGCCCGTGTCGCTCCCGGTGCCGTCCCGATCCATCACGTGCCCACCTGCGCCCGGTGCCCGGTGCCAGCCCCTCCCTACCTGCGGCGCCGGTCCCGCGCTCCCGGGGCGGCAGTGCCGGATGCCGCCGCCCGCGCCCTTTTCACGGCTGATGTCACCGCGGCCGGGGGCGGCCCGGGACCGCCCGGGACCGCCCGGCACCGCCCGCCCCCGGGGCGGGATCCGCCGGGGCCGCGGCCAGGGCTGGGACAGAGCCGCCACCGCGCCCCGGGGCAGCCCCGCCCCGGGAGGAGGACACGGGGGGGCAGGGGGACAGGGTGGCCGTGGTGGGGACAGGGTGGCCGTGGTGGCCAAGATGAGGACAGGGTGGCCATGGTGACAAGTGGACAAAGGGGTTGTGTGGGAACTGTGTGGCTGTGGTGGCCGAGATGAAGATGCGGTGGTCGTGGTGGGGAGAGAGTGGCTGTGGTGAGGACAGCGGTTCCAGAGGGGACAGGGTGGCCCTGGTGGCAGGGGGACAGTGGCTGTGTGGGGACAGACTGGCTGTGGTGGCCGTGCTGGGGACAGGGTGGTCATGGTGGGGACAGAATGGCCACAGAGGGGTTACAGGGGTTGTGAGAGGGACAGAGTGGCTGTGGTGGGGACAGGGTGGCTTTGGTGGGGACAGGGTGACCATGCTGGCAGGGACTGTGGCAAGGACAGAGTGGCTGTGGTGGGGACAGAGTGGCTGTGGTGGCAGGGGACACAGGGGCTGCATGGGGACAGGGTGGCCATGGTGGCTGAGGTGAGGATGGGGGATAACTGTGGTGACGGGTGTCACACAGGATGACTGTAGTGGCTGTTTGGTGTCACACAGGATGACTGTAGTGGCTGAGGTGAGGATGGGGTGGCTGTTGTAGGGACACAGTGACTGTGGTGACAGGCAGACACAGGGCTGTGTGCAGTGGCTGTGGTAGCTGAGGTGAGGACAGAGTGGCTTTGGTGGCTGCAGTGGCAGGGACTGAGTGACAGTGGGGACAGGCTGAGGATTCTGGTGGGGGCAGTGGCTGTGGTGACAGAACCTGGCATGACAGCAGTCAGGAACGAGGCTGTGATGGGGACAATGCCCAGGGGACAGTGGTGGGTGCAACGGCCCTGTTGTGATGATGAAGATGATGGGGACAACCAGGGCCTGGCTCTGGTGGCAGGGGGACAGCTCAGGGTCAGGGGGGGAGGATGTGGCCTCCCCAGCACCCGCAGTGTCCCTGGTGGCGCCGGGAGACACGATGGCGTTTGCACAAATCCCGTCTCCATGGGAAACGCCATCAAAACAACAAACAAAACCTCGGCTCAAGGCCACCGGCCGCCTCCGGAACCAGTGGCAGCGCCACTGCTGCAGTGTCCCCGTCACCCCACCCACCCCTCAGAACCCAACCGAGCAGCCACGGTCCCCAGCCCACCCGGAGCTCGGCTGTGATGCCACCAGAGCTCGGCTGTGATGGCACTGCCATGCTGTGGGCCAGCCCA